TAAGGAATCCCCTCAGTTCTGCCCTGCATTATCGAGAGGATGCCACGAGTCAGAATTGACTCACTGGATTCCCAAATCCCGGCTCTTGGCTTTGCCTGTGGTGTCTGCTCATGTTAAGAAAATGAGATTACGGATAGAAATGCTTCTCCGAGAAAACCAACGGGAGGCCTGGAATAAGGTTACCAGTGCAGCAAGAACTGTCCATGAACACCACGACCTGATGGCAACAAATGTCCGAATGTGCTTGACACAACGGATGGATGTACGAGCCCCCAATAAAATGATTTATAAAAAATTTAAAGAGAAAACCACTACCTCCACCAGAGAGCCGTGACTTGTTCAGAGATCTGACGGCTCGAAGAAACAAAGGAATGAAAATCACCGTGGAAAGCAGAACTCCTGGAAGAAAGGACAGTGCTAAGGGCACCCTGTCCGTTGGCCCATGTGGGCGGAAATGAAAAGAAGTGCTTCTCACTCCAAAGACTGGAGACCTTGGCTCTTGCTAGTCATTCATTCCGTCACTCACGCACTGCACTCGAGCACTCCACACAGGCCCTGCGGTCAGCAGGCAGCAAGACACGAGCCACTCACTCACTGGCCCTCCAAATGAGCAAACGAAATCACTGAAAAACCAAAACCCATTTAGCATTCTCCAGTCAACTCCAAATCATGACTCTATAGGACAGAGTGGAGCTGCCCCATCAGATTCCCAAGGCAGGAATCTTTACAGAGCCCAAAAAGCTCAGCGGTTCAAACCCACCAAACTAACTACTCCTCAGGAGAAAGACCACGCTGTCTGCCCTCACCAAAATTTACAGTGAATCAGGGTAGACTGGCTAGAACTACCAACCAAGTGATTCACCACTGCCTCACCGAGGCTCCTTCTAGCAAACAAACCAAAACGAAACGCAGCACCAACGAACCCACCGAGCAGTCCTATAGAGCTTCAAAGCTGTAAGATCTGTACAGGAGAAGAGAGGTTCATCTCTGCCTTTCAGAGATGACTTGTTATCACCAGTCCAATGCTTACCTGACAGGGCCACCCGGACTCCTCTCCAACAAACCGCTAACTCCCTTTCTGTTCAAAGCTGAACAAGTAGCTACCACTCTGCCACCGCTCAGCTCCAGGGTTCTTTTAGCAAACAGGCCTGTCTTGAGAGGGCTTTAAAGTGATTTGAAGAGCAAGGACATTTAGGAGAATTGATTAAGGTTCAGGGCAGGGAAATCGTTCTTAATAAGTGATCAGGGAAGGGCTCAGACCCTGGTGAGTGAGAGAAGCCAACCAAAACCCAACGGAAAGGAGGGTGGGGAAAGGCATTTGGGAAGAACTGAGTGGAATAAGGGAGGCAGGAAGGGCATGGTGGCTGGGACAAAGGGGGCAAGGAGGGGACAGGTAGCAGGTGAGGTGGGAGGCCTTGGGGGAGGGAGAGCAGGCAATGCCTAAGGGAAAAATTGGATTGTGGTTCAAGGGCAAAGGGAAGCAGTAGAAAGGTTTTTAACTAGTGAGCAGCATGATCTGATTTAGAAGGCATAAGCCCTCGGGGGTCCTATCTACAGCACCCAGGGAAAAATTTCAGTAGGTGCTAAACCAACACACCTGTGGCTGTGGAGCTGACAGCCACTCTCTATGTCTAGCTATGCTCTAGGGGGACCCCTATGAGCCTTGGTGGGATTATGGGTTGGGCTGCTAATCTCCAGGTCAGCAGTTCAAAACTACCAGCTGCATTACAGGAGAAAGCTGGGACTGTCTACTGACTTCCAGAAACCCACAGGGGCAGTTGGACCCTATCTACCCTGTCCTACGGGGTCACTATGAGTCCAATGGACTAGACGTTGTTTATGGTCAACCCTCAGGATTACATTCTTGGCACCGAGGGAAATTTTGGTAGGGGGCTAAACAAACCAAGCCCTTGGCTGTGGAGCAGACTGAGAACCACCCTATAGGACCCCCCTTAATCTCCACAGGGTCTCCAAGGATGTGAATATTTACAAAAGCAGACAGGCTCATCTTTCTCAAGAGGAGTAGGGAGTGGTGAGAACCATCAACCTTTCAGTTAGCAGTCTAACGCTGCCATGGAAATACACATCCCCTTTTGTTAAGGATAACTGAGGCATCAAGAAAATGTCCCAGAAAATGTTAGCCCTGTCACACAAAGCCTGGGGCGCCCAGGTGACACAATGGTCCCAAACTCGGTTACTAGCCCAAAGGTTCAAGCCCACTAGCTGCTTTGTGGAAGAGAAGAGCAGGTGACCTGGCCCTCTACAGATGACCACCTAGGGTAAGGTGACCAGATTTTAGCATTGGTAAAGCGAGACAGCATTGATAAAACTCATATCCTGGCAAAATAGCCACATGGCAGCCGAAAACTGTATACCCTAGCTTGTCGGGCATTCTTTCCAAAAATTGGGACTTTTTAAAAACGCCGCGGGACACGGGACAGATTGTTAAAAATCGGGACTGTCTGGTCACCTAGGGGAAACCCTGTGGGGCAGTTCTACCAAGTTCTAGAGGGTTGCTGAGAACCAATGGCACACAACAACAAAACACTTTCACTGCTGGACTTGGTATTCCGAGTCCTAGCTTTCCATCACCGGAGGCTAACGTTCTAATAGGTACTTCCTCTCCCCTTTCATCCTATGAAAAAACAACTCTCAGGGCGCCCCGTGGCTGCAGGAGGAACTCTAGCGAAAAGCTCAAAGCATTTACCATTGGCATAAATCCTACCACTTGTGTCCCACCTCACCATCCTCAGTCTTTTCTCAGCTCGTCCTCGCCTTGTTCCTTCCGAATCTCTTCCATTCTTTTCTTTTTCCATATGCTCAGAACTAAACATTCGAAATGTGGGCTGCTTGGCCAAACTGAGCATTATTAAAGTTAATTTAAACAACCCTATCTACAGTTAATGTTCCCTCATAAAGACACACTTTTGGCAAGAAGCATGGTAGTTGCACCTGAATGTGGATAACTTAAATAAGAGTCCTTTCTGAAGCTAAATTGCAGCTTTGATCAACTCAGTGAAATGTCTTCCACCAACATGTTTGGGCACCGTTCCTACGAGGGAAAAATACAAGGCACGGCTGCATCAGGTGCGTGTGTTTGGGTTAGAAGGGAAGAAAGAGGAAGCAGCCTCAACCACTGGAGAACAACCAAGATACACCTGCAGAGTGGTGACAGAAGGAAAGGACCCGGCCTGGGTAGGCAAGGAAGTGTGGGAGCTTGTGCTTCTACTTCCAGGGACCAGAGAACACTGACTTCCAGCACTCAAAACAAAGACACCAGCCTGCCCTTCCCCCAGGCTGCAGTCTGAAATACCCAGGTACGAAAATAAGCCAGATTAACCCTTTCTCAGACTGTCCAGTTGGTAATACCCCAGGCACAATTATGCCCACTGTCTCAAAGCTTTTCAAATCATTAAAACGTGTGAAAATGCACTTGTGTCTTTGAACTCATCAATTTGCCTGCCCCCCACCCCCATGCACCTAGACGGAGTGGTATCCTAACAGCAGTTCCCCAATGAGGTATGTGCGATAGGGCGGCTGTCTCCCAGCCTTGACTGGCAGGACCCGCAGCTGAATGCTAGATGCCCTGCTGCCACACAGTGTGGGTCTCACCCCAGATCCAGGCTTTCACATGTCATATCCTAGGTAATGCTCTTCATTGTTCTTGGCTCCCAATTCCTGCAGGGGCAGGGTTTCTTATCAACCATCAGCCCCACAATCTCTTGGCCCACTATTAAAAATGCAGATTTCTTGTGCCCCACTGGGAAGAAAACATCTCTGGACCAGCCATTTTTAAACAGTACTGAGCTCTCGTGCACACTAAGCTTAAGGACCTCTGCCCTGGAGAACTGTTTCTCAAACTGAGTGGCATGATCTCTTGGGCCAGGAAATCCACCGAAGGGGGGAGGGCCAGCAAATTGTTGTGGTTGCAGTTCAGAGCCCGCTGCAGCAGTGAGTGGCAGGTTCAGGAGAGTGGCGGTTTCAGCTGGTCCCTATGCACAGGGTGTAAGGCAGGCTAGGCTTTCTCACTACGGATCCCAAGGAAAGTTGAAAAATCACTCTCTTGAAGGCAAGAAGGAAAATACAAGCTGTTTATTTTCCACTCTCTAGCCCTAACCTCAAACTTCTTGATTTTAGTTCAAGTACAGAGATAACAAGACCATTCAGGAAATACTGTTAGCAACTCCTAAACTGATAAGGCAAAGCGTGGACCCCAACTTCCTCCTCCCTGGGACTGGGGGTGGGGGTGAAACAGAGGATGGTGCCAAAGGGATGTTTGCACAGCTCCCCTAAAGCTGGACCTGCTCCCCCAGCAAAGCACTTGTACCCGCTCAGATCACTGGTAAGCATGAAAATGCTCCTTATCAGGTATAGGGCTCAGCACAAGGGCGAAGGAAAGGAGGGGAGAGAACGCACAGATGATGGGGCCTGGTGGCAGGGACTGGGTGAAAGGGATGGGTGAATCCAAGCCAAGGACCACTGGCTCTGTAACTCCAGCCTTCAAATCAAGCCCCACCCAGAGCCAGGTAGGCACTACCTGGAGCAAGCCCCTCTACTTCTCCACCCCTACTCCTGGCTTTGCACCTCTGATCACCTGTGGGGTAGGAGGCTGACAGCCCTGGGGCTGGGCTGCACACCCTGTAGGACTAGAAGGTGGGAGTAGGATGCCTGGTTAGAAGCAGCCTTACTAGAGGAAAGGGCTCCCGGGACGGGCACGAGGCTCCCGGAAAGCAAGGAGAGCGAGTCAACAAGGAGACCAGGAAGCCGGAGCCCAGCCAACGCTCAGGAGCCGTTCCTCGTGCCGTCCAGCCAAAGCGGGCTGTTAGGTGGGTCGGCTGCACTCGGAACAGAGAACATTGGAAAAGGCGCTCACTTGGGTTTTTAACTCCAGCGGCTAAAAGGATTTGGACAGAGGTGACAGGACCCTGGGCAAGAGGTCCAAAGGAACAGACTCCCGTCTCCCCACCCCCTTCCCCGGCCGCCCCGCTAACAGGCAGGACCTCCAGAGGTGGTCAGCGGCCACAGAAGGCAATCTTGCGGGAACGAGCGCCGGTGCCCGGGCGGGGCTCTCAGGAGGGCCCCATCCAGACGAGCAGGACAACTCGCGCCCACACCCCGGGCAAGGGCACCAGGGAGGCGCCGGGGAGCGGCCGGGCACGA